AATATGAATAAATATTAAGCAAGCATTTTAATTATTTGAGATTTTTTAAAAATTTTCTTGTTATGAATGAACTTTGATAATTTATTGTTTAAAATGTAATAATAATAATGAGTAGATAATTGTACTTGTCAAAAAGGGGATCAATGTATAATGTGAATAAATGTTATGCAAGTATTTTAATTACTTGAGACTTATTTACTTGAAATTTTTTAAAAATTTTCTCATTTCGAATGAATTTTGATAATTTATTGTTTAAAATTTAATAATAAGAATGAATAGATAATTGTCAAAGGGAGGAGGTTGCACGATAAGGAGATCAATGTATAATACGAATAAATATTATGCAAATATTTTAATTACTTGAAAATATTTTATTTTTTCAGCGCCTAAGAAGAAAGCGTCTGATCATATCCGACCGATTCCACTTAATTCTAACTCCTGTCCTTCGAGATAAAATTTTAAACGATCGAATTATTATTTCTATTATTCTATCCCAGTTGAAGTGACCACTGACGATCTCACGAATCCAAATACTCGTTAATTCTTCGTGATATTATTGCAAAAAAGAATTCTGAAACAAAGGAGAATATTCGACAAATTTTCTCTCTTTATACGTAAACATACATAAAACATTAAAATATAAAAGTTTTAATTTGTAGAGCCCAAAGAGTTATCTCGATTGAAATGGCCACCAACGATCTCACAAATCGAAATACTCTTAATTCTCTTAATTCTTCGTGCCGTGATATTATAGCAAAAAAGAATTCTGAAACAAAAGAATATTCTGAAAATATTCGACAAATTTTCTTTCTTTATACGTAAACATACACGAAACATTAAAATATAAAAGTTTTATACATTAATTATAACAAAAAAGAATTCTGAAACAAAGGAGAATATTCGACAAATTTTCTTTCTTTATACGTCAACATACATGAAACATTAAAATATAAAAATTTTAATTTGTAGAGTCCAAAGGGTTATCTCGATTGAAATGGCCACCAACGATCTCACGAATCGAAATACTCTTAATTCTCTTAATTCTTCGTGCCGTGATATTATAGCAAAAAAGAATTCTGAAACAAAAGAATATTCTGAAAATATTCGACAAATTTTCTTTCTTTATACGTAAACATACATGAAACATTAAAATTTTTAATTTGTGGAGCCCAAAGAGTTATCTCGATTGAAATGGCCACCAACGATCTCACAAATCGAAATACTCTTAATTCTCTTAATTCTTCGTGCCGTGATATTATAGCAAAAAAGAATTCTGAAACAAAAGAATATTCTGAAAATATTCGACAAATTTTCTTTCTTTATACGTAAACATACACGAAACATTAAAAGTTTTAATTTGTAGAGCCCAAAGAGTTATCTCGATTGAAATGGCCACCAACGATCTCACGAATCGAAATACTCTTAATTCTCTTAATTCTTCGTGCCGTGATATTATAGCAAAAAAGAATTCTGAAACAAAAGAATATTCTGAAAATATTCGACAAATTTTCTTTCTTTATACGTAAACATACATGAAACATTAAAATTTTTAATTTGTGGAGCCCAAAGAGTTATCTCGATTGAAATGGCCACCAACGATCTCACAAATCGAAATACTCTTAATTCTCTTAATTCTTCGTGCCGTGATATTATAGCAAAAAAGAATTCTGAAACAAAAGAATATTCTGAAAATATTCGACAAATTTTCTTTCTTTATACGTAAACATACACGAAACATTAAAATATAAAAGTTTTATACGTTAATTATAACAAAAAAGAATTCTGAAACAAAAGAGAATATTCGACAAATTTTCTCTCTTTATACGTAAACATACATGAAACCATAAAATATAAAAATTTTATACGTTAATTTGTGAAGCTCAGAGTTATCCTGATTGAAGTGGCCACCAATGATCTCACGAATCGAAATACTCGTTAATTCTCTTAATTCTTCGTGCTGTGATATAAAAAAAAATTTTTTTATTTATTATAAAATTTTTATTATTATAATTTTTTATTATAATTTTATTATAATTTTTGTTTATTTATTATAAAAAAAAAGAATTCTGAAATTGCGCGTTCGATTCGAATCGAGGAGGAAATAAGAACCTGTTGCGAGCACTGATCACAACAGGGACAATCTTTGCGTTTATCTACGGCACGGCCAAGCCTGAACAGCTAATATTGGTCTTGGAGCAGGGCCGCCAACAAAAAAGTGATTAAAAGACACTTCCGTTTGCCGCACCCCTAACATTACGTAAAACAGGGTATATCGAGAAAATGGTTTAAACGCGATGCGATCGATTCGAGTTGCATCGATCGATACACGATTTGTACAACTTAATTTTTGCTCCTCTCAACTCTTTTTTATATCAACGCAAGGAAAGGAAAGGAGTGGACACTGAATCACTTCTTTATATTGTTATTGCCACATTCCTCCTTACTTTTCTGGTTTTCTTTCCTTTTTAAGGTTTTCATCTCCAGCCTAAGTGAAATTAATTAATGGGTGGACTCTCAGGATCGATATTTATTTACGTTCGATTTTTTTAAAATATCGCTTCCAATAAAGATTCTCTAATCTTTTTATGTATATAGAATAATATACTCTCGAATAATTAGATTTTTTTTATTTCGAATTAGATCGTGATATCGTGGATCGAGCTATATTTTCGACGTTCGAGTTTGACAGTGGTGGGGATAGAAATATTATTTTCAAAGTGTTTTCGAGTTTTGTAAGCATGGAATATAGTAAAATGAAATTATTTGGAGCGAAGATGAATTTTTCGTTATTGAATAACGAAATTATTTCTATTGGTTGAGAAATTGAGGATAGAGAAGAATAAAGGGATGAAAATAGAGATGTAGTGTAACAAGATGAAAAATAAAAATAATAGTCAAACATCGCGCAAACCAAGAATATAGACTTTAATATTCGACAAATTTTCTTTCTTTATACATAAAACATTAAAATATAAAATTATTTTATATATTTATAATATTATATATTAAATAATATTTATAATATAAATAATAATAATAATAATAAATAATATTACGTATATATAATATAATAATAAATAATATTTATAATATTAATATATTAAATATTTTATATATTAATTTGTACGTGAAATTATTTTATAAGTCAGCCAAGAAATTCAAGTTATCAATTTGGCCGAATGAAAAAGGCGCCTAGAGTTCAAAGGGTTAATATTATTTAAATTTGCGAAGCAAAAAAAAGAATTGGAGTTGAGTGGAAATCGAAAGAGGAATATTACGAGTTAATTTATTAATATATATTTATAAAATATAATTTATAAATATAATCGATCGATCGATTCGAATCGATCCTTGAATAAAACTGTAATAAAATCCTTTTCGATCATGAGCCTGTGATTAGGGTAATTGCGCATATAGCAGTTACGTTACTAATTAAAAGGAATCATGGGTCTGGCCCATTACCCCGAGCTCATTTCCTAATGGATTCTTTCACGAAATGTTAAAGATTAGATTCCTAACTGAACACTGAAACGCAATACAAGTGGGATTCGCATTATATCGTTGATATTACGTTTAATTCACGGGATTCGATTCTTTCTATTTCCCACAACAATTACAATTTCTAGAAATGCATATTTTTTTTTTTCTCCTCCTCTTCATTTAAATATCGTTGATATTTTAAATATCATATAAATTTAAATATCGCTTGATATTTTGACGATTATTTCGTTTAAAAAATTTTTCCCTAAAAAAAAAAAAAAGAAAAAGTAAAATCTAATCGAAAGAAAAAAAAGAAAGAAAGAAAAAAAGAAGGAAAGAGAAATCGCAAAATAACGACAATACTTATCGTCATTATTTAGCTATTGAACGGCAAGGCCGTGGAATTAATCCGTAGCTTACATAATGGCGGGCAACCGATGACTATCGAGAGCAGGAAGACGAGTCGTGTTTTCTGGTCAACGCTGGAACGATCATGGGAACAGAAATGTTAATTAAGCCGCGGGTTAACCAGGCCCGTTTAACGAGAAAATTGATCGTGATCGTACCGATTATTATCCAGGATAATTATTTCGTCGCGCATTAAGACGCAGTTTGAAACGAAAGGTCAGAATTCATTATCTCTCTCTTTCTCTCTCTCTCTCTCTCTCTTTCTCTTTCTCTCTCCCTCTCGGTTTGATTTTATGATTTTTCTTTTTTTTGCGAATTCTTATTCCACCTACCACTCGGTGAATTTTAATTAAAGCTGCACTGAGATGAAAGCGTTTTCGACCCTTTTTTCTTTTCTCTTTTTTTTTTTTTCTTTTTGCTTACTGATTTTTTTCCATGTAATTATTTACTGTGTATTTATATATTTATCATTTGTACACGCGTTTTAATTCTTTCCTCGATCGTTTCGTTTTATCTTTTATATATATATATATGTTATATATAAATTCGAAATTTCGTTCATCGATCATTGTATATTGTTGTATCTGTTGTATAATATTTTCGTTTAATCTATTCAGTTTAATATAATCAGGTATATGATCGGATATGATTGAACGCCATGGCTTGGAAAAAGTTGAATTCGACACCTTGTTAAATGCGAGAAGGGAACATTATCGTTAAGTTGTACTTTAAAAGCTATTTATTATTTATATCTCGAAGATAAGCAATGACGTTGCTTAAAAGTTTCGTGTAGTAGCTTAATAGAAATTGTAAACGTAAGTTTTATGTACTTTAACCGGAATATAAAATTCGAATTACTTATTGGATCGTTTGGGTCTTTACACTTCACGGGACATTTAAATTTATGATATTTATTCATAACTTTTTTTTAACCAAACTATTGGTTAAAAATTGTATTATTCATTGCATTTGAAATTCTTTAAATGATTAAATTCAAAATATATTTTAAATTTTAATATATCGTATCTTGTTCACAAAAAATATGTAACAAATGTAAAAAGAATGTTGCTGCTGGATGGGTTAAAAATCTTTTTCCTCTTTCTTGTCAACAGTTTCGACGTGGAAAATGGCGCCTCAACGTTGGACGGGGGTGCCGGAGGCGGTGGAGGCGCCTCGCCAAGTGCAGGGTTGGTGTTGCAAACCCTGCCACAGAGGCGAGAGAGCTTCCTGTATCGCAGTGATAGCGACTTCGAGATGTCGCCGAAATCGATGTCTCGAAACAGTTCGATCGCCAGCGAGAGGTAAGAGGCCCTGAAACTATACTTCCATTAAAAGTCGATGTTGATTCGAGAATACCATATTTTTCTATTTTTATTTTTATATTTTTTTTTTTTTTTTTTTTGGTTTGTATCGGAATAAAAGAGGAAAATTTAACCTTGTAAATAATAATGAAATGGGAATGTCAATTTGTTTATTACGATGTTTTTAATCCCATGATCGTGATTGTTCAGCTTCGATCGGATGATTTTCCGGATGGAAATTGAAGCAGCAGTTGCTGCATCAGTAAATGGAAATAATCGATTCAGATTCGTTATTGTGCAATTTTAAATTTGAAAATTAATTTTTTTAATATTTTTATTGAAATTATGCGAATTTCAGGGAGATTAAAGGAATGGAGGAGAATTAATTTTTAGGAAAATAAGAAAATGTTATTAAAGATTTATTATTAAATTTTGCATTTACATTAATTGTCTTATTGAGATAATCACCTGATTCTCGTAAGCGTGAAATAATTCATAATTACTGGTTATTCAACGACGAATTATGATTAAACGAATTTAGTGTAATTTACGTTTATATGAATTACAGATTCCTCTTGGCTCGACACTCATTCGTTAATGAAACCATTCGTAAACACGATAACGATAATTGGCTTGTTGCACGTGTTCATGAATAATTAAAAAGGAAATTAAAAAACGAACCTGACTTAGTTCATTAATATTTGTGTTTAATCGATTGATTATGAAGTTTTTTTTACAATTCGTTTCACATTTAAAATTTATGAAATTCCTTTGTTCTGTTATCTGCATTATCGACCGTTGAGAATTTATTTTATCTACTGTAGGAATAAACGCAATCTAAAATTTTCGTATTAAATTCTCTGTCGGTAACATCAATTCAAGATAAAATAGCGATTGATTTTATCGATAAGAATAAAATAGAAGCTTAGTAATCTTGCCAATACTGCCATCTTGAGGATATTGAGAATATTTTTAAGACTCGGTGATATTATTCTGCTAAGGCCATCTTGTATTGAATACTTTGCATTACAACGATCTCTATATTCTTCAAATATTCAATATAGAAGAATCTGATTGATTAAATCAAATATCTTTATTATATTATAAACAGAAACATAATAAAAAAGAAAATTTGTTATAAAAATTTGCACTCTTTATAATAAAAAGTATCGATTAAAAGACATCCGATCTGAGCGCAATCGTAACATTTATATATATACATATTATCAATTAATACGAGAGAACAATCTACGATTTTTTTTTCTTCTATGTGTAGCTTGACAAAAGTATCGTAGCTTTCTATGGTGATGGTGCTTAATATCTCTATATTTTATTTTTTATTATTTCACATATATTTGTAATTTTTGTAAATATATACAGCAACAAAGAAGTGAAGATATAATTCTCGCAATAAAAAGAAATTCTCTCCATTAAATAAAAATTCGAGACAATTTCCATTCACAGATTTCTATATGGTTAAACTATTTTAAAATATTTTAAAATTTTTACATCAAGAGAAAATTCTTTTTATCTCGAGTGTTCACGCTTTGTTGAACGAAAAGAGAACTTTTTTTTTTTTTTTTTTCTTTTATTTATCCGCGTGGACGTGTGCGGGGTGTGACAATGAATCATGTTTGTGATCCTTGGGTTGCAGGTTCAAAGAGACAGAGCTTCCTGTCGAGCGAGCGTATGTACACGATCCTATTATCTATTATATCAGTCTCTGTCGTTTCACTACATATATATATATATATATATATATATTATATAGTCACAAAAACACACTTACAAATACTAATCGACATCCTTCGCCACGATAATTACGCTGTTAAATCGATTCGATTCGCTGCCTCTTTAACCATTTTCTCTTTCTCTGTCACACATACAATATAGAGAACATATTGGGGGTTGCTGAAGTGCATGAAATTGTTCGCTGTGAAAAAGAAAAAAAAGAAAAAGAAAAAAAAAAGAAAAAGAAGGAAAGAAAGAAAAAATTTAAAACGAAAGAAATTCTGCCATAATTTTGAGTAGCTTGTTGAGTCGTTCACTTTATTTGATATAATATGGCGTGCTTTTATTACATTTTATTTTGCGATCGGCTTTAATTTAATTTACTTTTACTTAGAATAGAATTGGGCTACGTTATACGAATAAGAATAATCGGTCTTGTTGAAAAAAAATTCACAATTGTTGGAATTAATGTTGAATTATTCTTTTATGAAGATAAATTTTATATCTATTTTAATCATTTAAAACTCATTTTTATCATCAATTCCATCATTTTAACTATTAACTAACGAAAGAAAAAAAAGCAATAATTCTGCTTATATTTTATTAGTGTGTAAGAGATCAATAAATGATTGAAAATTTTGATAGTTTTCAATAATTCAAGCAAACTTATTAGCTGCTATTTATAATTTGGAATTCAATCTTCCATGTTTTAAGATTGTTTTTCTTTTCTTTTTTTCACGAAAAACCAAAAAAAAAATGATACAAATATCTCTTTTTAAACTCAAACATTTATTGATTATAATATAACATAACATAATATAACGTAATCCAATTATCGTTTATTCATTTATTCGTTATCAATTTTGAAATTATCACTAGAGATTGTCGAGTAGAAAGTTACCACTACTAGTTTTTCATTTCTTTGATCGAACGAAACGCTTATTGAATGTTTAGAGCGAGTTTTCGTTCATTTTCCATTATGTTCCGTGCGGTTTCTCAAAAAAAAAAAAAAAAAAAAAAAAAAAAAACGGAAGAAAAAAAATTAAAAAAAAAAAAAAAAAAAAGGAAGAAAAAGAAACGAAATTGAATCGAAGTGGATTTCTCGTTAAAATATATCGTGGCAGAATTGATAGAATTGAATTAGAATTGATAGAATCGAGCTGCTTGGAACACACGCAGGCACACACGAGTTATACACGTGGATTCGTTTTTCTAATTCTTCCCTCTCTATTTTGCACCGCGAACGATAAACAAAAAGGTATCACACCCACACACCGAAAAAAATACTCGAATACTCGACGAAGAGAAAAAAAATTTAGAAATATATATGTATATCGATTGTACAGATATTATTGTATATATTATCTTTCTCCTCTCTGTAACTTTTTCTCGTTGTTTAACTGTTTCGTGGAAAAAGGAAATATACGATTAAGTGCTTTTTTCTTTTTTCTTTTTTTTTTTTTTT